TCAGGTTTACATGTAAAGTCAATGGACGAGTGCGATGAAGCGCGACTGGGGGTCCCGCGAAACTTCAGAAGCAGATTTGCATCGCGAAAACGCGTCAGTTGTGCTACTTTGAAGCGCGAAGTAAAATACACAGTGCAGTTTGTGTGGTGCATTTTGTGCGTTCGTGCATATCTCGTCTACCACTCGAGTTGGAAAAATCTGAACTATAGCTTCAAGTCGCGCCGTCACAACCAATCAGGAGCCTGGTGACGTGATGCTCTGACCTAGTTCAAAGGGGCAGGTCCAGCCAAAACTCTTCCACTTTAAGCTGGGTCCTTTTTATTCCTCTCTCTCTCTAAATAGTTGAATTTTATATATTTATGTTTAATGTTTTTCTGTTTGAGAATTTTAATATTATTTCAAATAAATTTTTGTAATGACTAATGTCTCAGTTCTACTACACTGGAAATATTGGCACACAACTTGACACATGTAGAATTTATTTCATATTATGCTAATGAAAAAATATACTACTATACAGGAACATAGTGAAGACCAATTATTTAAGAGAATAAAGAGAGGTTAGTTTATTTTGGAGTAGAGCTCCATTTATTAAGAAAATTTTAAAAAGGCAGGAACGAGGTTTGTGGGTGGCTCTTAAAAGAGCCGTTGTTGGGAAGTCACTGGGACTTCAAATAGGCTATTCTTTTGGCTGCCAAGACACTGCTCCCTCTGCCGAGAAGTGGGCCATGAATAATAAATCTGTCCATATTTCTAGAAAAGAGAGCTGCTCCATCCAAAATGGGATGGATGCCGTCTCTCCTAACAAGACCAGGTTTCCTCCAAAAAGTTTGCCAATTATCTATGAAGCCCACATCGTTTATTGGACACCACTCAGACAGCGAGAAATTTAAGGAGAACATGCGGCTAAACATGTCACTCCTGGTCTGATTGGGGAGGGGACCAGAGAAAACTACAGAGTCCGACATTGTTTTGGCAAAGTTACACACCATTTCAATATTGATTTTAGTGAACTCCGATTGACGTAACCAGGTGTTACGTGAATTATTATTTTACTGTATTTACGTTTACCCTTAGCCAGCAGTTTTAAATTTCCTTCAATGTCGTCTGCTCTGGCCCCTGGTAGACAATTGACTATGGTTGCTGGTGTCTCTAGCTTCACATGTCTGAGAACAGAATCAGCAATTACCAGAGTTTGACCCCCGGCGGGTGTGTCGCCGAGTGGGGAAAAACGGTTAGACACATGAACAGGTTGGTGGTGTACCTGGGGCTTCTGTTTAGGACTATGCTTCCTCCTCACCGTCACCCACCCGCCCTCTTTCCCCAGCTGCTTGGGGTCTGCTGGGGATCAGCTAGTGGGGCCTATGCTGTCTTCGGCTGCACCAGCTACAGGGGCCTGGCTAGCTACGGGTGAATGAAGGGTGCGAAGCCGAGTCTCCAATTCAGTAATCCTGGCCTCCAGAGCTGTAAATATGCTACATTTGTTACAGATATCATTACTGCTAAAGGAGGCCGAGGAGTAACTAAACATCTGACACAATGAGCAAGAAAGTGCAGGAGGGACAGGTAAAGAGGCCATGCTGCTAGCGAGTTGGCTACGAGCTAAGCTAATGTAAGCTAGGGAAACAGTAAAGACATAGCGAGTGAATACTTTGGCTATAAATTAGGTAGTGAGAACACAGAAAGTGTGCTTCGGATGAAGCACGTGAAGATTATACTATCAAAAAATAAGTTATCTAAACGATTTTAGTTAAACTGCTCTGCAGATAAGCTACTGTGCATTGGAACAGGAACAGGAAGTCATACCCTACCGCAGAGAGTGAATGTTGCTATTGTCAACCAAAATGGTTGACAATAGCAACATTTCTAGCTTCTGCTGTTAGCTTAATGGACATTATACAGTATAAAACTGGGGCTCAAACAACTGAGGTTGTTTTGTGTCTATGTGCACAAAACAACTGTAATATAATGCTTCTAAAGCTTACAAAACAATGAAGGGTTACCTATTAAATATATTAACAATGTACAGATTGCAAATTCATTAAGTTTTAAACACTTTTACCTGAAAACAGGGGGAAAAGAATCACGAGTGATTTTGACTTGCTTCCCTCATCCAGTTGTTTATTGCAATGAGGAAAGCGCACGAAAACCCCCTTGTGGAGAATGGAGACACTACCAATCAATCCCAGAAAAGGCTTACTAGCCGATCAGTGATGTGCAGATGGCATCTCTCTTGAATAAAATGAGAACCATTGGCGTAACATGAAAAATAATAACTTTTCAACAATTTCTTTACTGTATTTACATTATTTTTATCCTTACATCACCTAAGATGAATTAGTATTAACTGTATAATCTTTTTAGTTTCAGTAGTCTTTCAACCTGTCACAATAGCAGAGCTGTACGTTTTTAATATTTTCAGAAATCTCTCAGTCAGAATGTGCTATATCGCGTTTAGGTGGAAACTAGCGAGCTAACTTCTGGCTATCTTCTAACTCCGTTAACTTTAATAAAGTCTTATTTCAGGGATGCCTGATAAATTTTATTAAAGATGAAATAATTAAGACAGTTTTAACTCTCAGTGATGCCGCAGTCTTTGTTTGACTTTGAAGAGATGGAGTTTAGGACCCAGATACTCCGTGAGGCTTCTGACTACGGTAGCCGTAATACTCCAACAATCCATTAAGCAGTGCTGCTGTGTACCTTACCAAAGTCGTACTTAAACATTTTTTGACAGATTTTTGAGCGCCGTGTACCACATAAAATTGGTTCAAGGTCAGGAAACACAACCAGAATTCATACATAAGACGCACCGGATTATAAGGTGCACTGATGATTTTTGAGAAATTAAAGGATTTTAACTGCGCCTTATAGTATAAAAAATACAGTAAATTACTTGTGGGAGAAACAGGAGCAGGAAAATCTACTCTGATCACACTCTGGTCAACTACACCATGGGAGTGAAGTGGGAGGATGGAGTCTGGTTTACGATCGTAGAGGAGGAGAAGAAGAGTCAAATAGAAGGACAGACAAAAAGTCAGACATCAGATGTGATCGTGTACGAGATCTTTGGTTTTGAAGATGAAACTCTGCCCTACTCTCTGACCATCATCAATACTCCTGGATATGGAGACACCAGAGGGTCTGAATATGATGACACCATCAGTTACAGATTACTGGACTTGTTTCAATCAGATGATGGAGTCCATGAAGTTCATGCTGTGGGTCTGGTGATGAAGGTGAGTGATAATCGACTGAGTGAGCGATTGAGGTACGTCTTTGATTCAGTGATGTCTCTGTTTGGAAAAGATGTGGAGCAAAACATCATAGCTCTGATCACACACTCAGATGGAAGCAGGCCTGAAAACCCTCTTCAAGCTCTTGAAGCTTCAAACATTAAATGTGCCAAAAATGAGAAGAATCAGCCTGTTTACTTCCTGTTTGATAACTGCCAGCATGAAGAGCGAATGGAGGAAAACACAAATTTTATAAATTCATGGGAACTTACACAGACAAACATGGATCATTTGACAGACTTGTTGGGAAAATCTAATCCTCAAAAACTGGTGAAAACATCCGAAGTGTTAAATGAACGAATCAGACTGAAAGCCTGCATCCAAAACCTGGAAGACAGAATTGAGCTGGTTGAACTGAAACAAAGAGAAATCAGACAGATCCAAGAAGCTCTGAAGCAGACAAATCACAGAAGTAAAATGGAAATTGAGAAAATATTGAGTCTTTTGGAAAATCTTGAAAAGGAAATGAAACAGCTGACAGCAGAAAAGGAAAAGTGGCTAAGTGACTCCTACCACCATGCTGTCAGACTGGAGGAAATCGCTCTGAAAGCTGATTCAGCATCCACTATTGTCCACTTGGACTTCCTGATTGAGATGATGAAGGAGAAAGGAGACAGAGAGAAGGTCCAGAAACTGGAGGAGATGGGAAGGAGAGAGGATGAAGGAACCAAAGAAGCACAGAGATACAAACTTGGTCAAACACCATCAGCTATCAAAACCATTGGGAGACCCTCCCTCTGGTATAAGTGAAACATGTAAAGAAGCATCAGGCAGCTGTGTAGATGGCTTTTTTCCTGATACTGCTTTATGCTACATGTTCAGATGTACACCATGTGGTTTTTGTTGTGGACATGAGGGAACATCATGTATACTTTCATATTTTATCCAGTTATTAAAAAATATAAATTCTCATTTATAAAAAAAAAACAACCTTTGAGTTATTGCTTTTTCTTTATTAATATACCTGTATTTCACACACTTGTACTTATGTAACAGCACATGACAAATATCACTACATAAACCAAACAGTTATTATGCAGAGCAGAGAAGTCCCAGTTCCTGGATTAGTCCTACCAGCATGTAGTCAGACTGGAGCAGATTGCTCTGAAAGCTGATTCAGTGTCCACTATTGTTCACTTGGACTTCCTGATTGAGAAGATGAAGGAGATAGGAGACACAGAGAAGTTTAAGAAACTGGAGGAGATGAGAAGGAGAGTGAATGAAGGAACCAGAGGAGAACTGCAAAATGTGTGGAGTAAATTAACAGCATTTTGGAAAAGAAAGGATCTGTGAAGGAGATGAATGCAAACATGGCATCCTTTTACTCATAAACATAATATTTTATCATAGTTTTAATTACTTTGATATTGTATGAATTGAACTTGTTTCTGAGGAAGATTTTAGATTAATGTTCACACTATGTTATTATGCAGAGCAGAGCAGGTCTGAGCTGCCAGCTGTGCTGTAAATGCAGTGAGGACCCCCCATGCTGTTTGATGATCAGTACAACAGTGTGTGAGAATAGCTTTCTGATGTCACAAATGAAACTCTGTGTTCTCCACAAATACATGTGTTTCTTTCACGTTGTTCTACTGTTGTTCTAATGTTGTCAGTGTAAGCTTCAGTGTGAGCTTTATTCTGCTGCTCGTGCTCTCATGGTGACTCAGTAAAGTGGTTGTGGGACAGTAACATGTCACTGACATGATCCAGAGACAGTCCAACATGTTGTTGTCTTTCTAATCAGTGAGTATGTCACACAGTGGAAATTTGTGTTTTTATGCTTTATCATATTAAATAAACTGAAAATAACAAACCCAAAGTAACAAATGAGTTTTGCATCAATCATTGGTTTTTAATTTGAGATCTACGTATGTTCAAGAATGCTAATCACAAACTGCTAATGAACTTCTACCATGGAGATCCTTCTGCTGCACACTGTGGTTCAGCTGCTGTGGAGGACAAGAGGAAACTGCAGCGGGTGGTGAGGGCAGCAGAGCGGCTCTGGGCCGGACACTAACCTCCCTCAGAGACATTTATATACTGGCAATGTCGTCCTCAAGGGCCCCCTGGACACTCACTCCACCCCCCACCCCTTCCCTCTGGTAGGTGCTACAGGTCGATCAGGTCAATGACAAACAGACTCAATAAAAGGTTTTACCCACATGAACTTACAATGCCCCACTGT